TGTGATTCATTAGGCTCTGAAGGTATCCAGTGTGATACACATACAGGTCAGTGTACGTGCAAATCTGGAGTTACCGGATTGAAATGTGATAAATGCGCTCCCAATTATTTTGGTTTAGATTCAAATGGATGTAAAGGTTGAATTTCGATTAATCTTTTACGGCCTTGATGACTTATTTAATGTTTTGATTTATGATGAAGCAAATAGAACTCACAATCTCTTTTTCAATTTTCAATAATTTCAATTTTAATTAATAAAAATTCAAACATTCTTCATAACTTTTAATAATACCTTAATTATTACTAATTCAACAAATTTATTTCTTCTTTTCTGTTTCCAGAATGTCGTATATGTCCAGCACCCGGTCATATTTGTGATTCAATAACCGGCGAATGCATCTGCCCACCCAATACAATCGGTGAAATGTGTGAGAAGTGTTCCAATAATGCTTGGAATTATGATCCTTTAAATGGTTGTACGCTTTGTGATTGTTCCAATATCGGAGCCGATGGACCAAATTGTAATCCTGAAAATGGACAGGTAAAGCAAACTAGCAACTTAAGCAAGCACAACATTTAAATATTTAGTTGAAAAATAATTTTACTATTATTATTTTTAGTGTAATTGTCGAGTGGGTTTTGTTGGTCTCAAATGTGATCGATGCATTCATGGACATTTTAATTTTCCAAAATGTGAATTATGTAATTGTGATCTATCGGGAACCGATCCAACAACTTGTAAAAATGGTGCATGCCTTTGTGATGAGATAGGACAGTGTAATTGCAAGGTAAATCTACTGGACATTTCATATGTTTTCCTACAGTTTCGTAAAATCTGTTTGCACAATTATTTGTTTTTCATTTTAATAAAAATTTATAGCAAATATATTTTAGAAGAATGTGATAGGCCTAAAATGTGATAGTTGCGATGCATTCAGCTTTAGTTTGGAGAAAACTAATGCATTTGGTTGCACTGATTGCTTCTGCTTTAATCGTACTAATTTTTGCATACAAAGTAATCTTGTATGGCAACAAATTTATGCACCTGATCGACAGGTAAATATCATCTTAGTATTTTTTTACTATTAAATCTAGTAGTAGCTCACCCTATTAAATCTATTAGTAGTCATTTAGCAGTATTTTTTTTTTCGGTTTTTTGAAAAAAAGAAAAACCCCGTATATTTATGTTAGATTTGAAGAAATATGATTTATTTCATGATGAAAATTATTTCATGCAAAAATTTTGCTATTAAAGTTTTTACTGTAAATAAAATTTAATGCATGAAAATTTTTAATTCCTTTTTAATTAAGGTAATATTCTCAGAACCATGGAAGTATTACATACGTAAACATAATTTGAATGTACTTAGAGAGGATCCACCGATATACAATAGTTATCCAACGGATATTACACCTTTATATTGGTATATTTAGAAAATTTAAACGTACTTATAATAACTGATTTGATATTGATTCGTTTGAATAAAAAGATTTGCTACAAGAATATTGCACAAATGGAGAAATTTTAAAATAAAAAATGAAAATTCGAATAACTTCTATTTTTTCGAACTTTAAATTAAAAACTATTGTTTGGTCAAATTCATAAAAGTTTGGAAAAAAAAAACGACGGAATAAAACTGGGACCAAAGTTCAGATGTAATTTTCTGGATTCTAACTTAGATAAAGTATGCTTGATGAAGAAATATAAATTTCAGGCCTCTTCCATCTAGTTTTCTGGGTGATCGAACAGCATCCTACAATGGCTTCATTCGTTTCACAATTAAAAACGATGATAACTATCGTGGTATCAGCAATGTGGCACCTGATTTACAGCATTTCCGCTTCTTCCCGCAAATCATCTTGGTAATTCTTATTTTTTGCTTCTTTTTCTGTAAAAACTATTGAAAGCTAAATTGCGAAAAGAGAGAAACGAGAAATGAAATTGCAGTAATGTTATTTAAATTTTGATTTATCATTTAAATCATTCATATTAATTGATATCAAATTTGTTTCACTACCAGGTCGGCAATCATCGTATCATTTTGGAACATACACCGGATGAAATAAGCCAATTAGGGCGCTATAAAATTCGTCTACATGAGAGTCAATGGCGTTCACGCTTAAGTCCTGACGTACGCGTAACACGCAAACAACTAATGATCGCTTTGCAAAATTTACAAGGCATTTATATCAGAGCTACATACAACTATCCATCCACGTGAATTTTTCCCACATTTTTATTTCGTACTTTTTTTTTAACAAGAAGATATACGATAAGCTTGACAGCCTTGGCATATCATTTGATCTTTACACTTCTAGCATATTAGCTTTAAGCTATCTATAATCATTAAAATAAACAAACAATAAGTAAATTTCAGCGGTGATACGGCATCAATTAATGAAATAAGTATCGATGTAGCAGTATGGGAAAATACCACCGATACTTTGTCAAATTCAGTAGCAATTGGTGTGGAACAATGTGAATGCTCTCAGGGTTATGCTGGTAATTCATGCCAAGATCCGGCCGAAGGTTATTGTCGAAAACGACAACCTGATTTCCTGAACAGTCCAGATGATTTAGCATTGGTTGGTGGATCAAAACTATGCGCATGCAATGGGCATTCAACAACATGTGAAGCAGAAACTTGCAGATGCACTGTAAGGCATGCACCTCTTTGCATTATTATTGAAAATTAATTAAGAATATATGATCAAATAATGATCAATTAAAAATGTAGTAAATCACAAATATTTCAAAATTCATTGACTACCGCTAGAAATCAAAAAAAGATTCACTCGTAAAATTTAACTTAACATTTATATTATGTACATTTTTTACTTATTATTTTCGTCATTGCAAAAAAAAAAAAAATTACTGATTGTTTTAGAATTGTGAACACAATACGTACGGTGATTTTTGTGAATTTTGCAAGCCGGGTTATCAGGGAAATGCACTGATTGGTGGTGCTAATGCATGCACAAAATGTGCATGTCCATTAGCCGATAATAGCTTTAGTGATACATGTATAGCAGTAGATCATGGCCGAGGATATATGTGTGATGCATGCAAACCTGGTTATACAGGTCTATACTGTGAAAATTGCCAAACCGGGTACTACGGTAATCCGAATATGGTAGGTGGCATGTGCAAGGAATGCGCTTGCCATCATCATGGCTCAGTTCATGAAATTTGCAATCAGATAAGCTTTTATTAGCATTTTTTTTTTGATTCTTGATAATATTACCGTACGATTTATAAAAATTACGGGAGTGATGTTTCTTAATTTTTGTAAAAAAAAATGTCGCATACTGTATAAGTTTATGACAGTCATTTCATTTAAATTATTAATTAAATGATAATGATGATAAATTCGTGTTGGTCTTTAAAAATGTAGCTTTTTTTGTTTTAGGAGACAGGTCAATGTGAATGTCGATCAGGTTTATCCGGTCGTGATTGCTCATTATGCAAAGATAGACACGCATTTATTAATGGTATTTGTACCTCATGTGATCAGGGTTGTACGCGTGATTTAATGAAAGAAATGGATGAGTTAGAAGAAATTATGCAACAACAGAATTTCACAAATTTACGACCAGTTCCGTGGAAGCGTGCTATTCGGATAAGTAATACAACAAAAAGTATGTTTCTTGAATACCATTTAATGTGTTATATTTGTCGGAATTATGAAACAAAAA